AGCTTCTGCTGCATCTGCCAGCACTATTGCTCTTCGTTCTTTGAGCTCTTTCTTTATCGCTTCTCTGCACTGCTTTGCGGGCTCGGATATTTGCTTGCGGTTACCTGAGGCTTGCATAAAGCCACATTGACAAATGAGCTCAAGAGTTTTTGAAGACAGGTGTCTTTTTGTGGCTCTCTCTCTCTCTCAGCATTCCTCGCACAATCATGGAGGTGCTGAACCAGTTGATCATATTCTTTGTCAATGTTGTCAACGATGGCATCTTCCCATATTGCAGCAATAGTGCCAAAGAGCTCCCAGTTGGTGGTCGTTCTGGGAGTTCTCTTCTTAAACTTTGCAGCCCTTTCTCCCCGCTCCGTGAAGTAGAATTTTGCACAAAGGAGATGGTGGTCTGATCCCATTTGGAATTTCAGGACAACAGCGACATCGGTCAGACAAAACCGTCAATTGAATATGATGTGGTCAATTTCGTTGTGGAACCGTCCACTGGGAAACTCCCACGTCCAACATTTAGGTTCGGCCTTCTGGAACTGTGAGTTACCATGGATGGTCTTGGTCAACAACATGATGAACTCAGACAGTCTGTCACCCTGTTCGTTCCATTCTAGGCCATGGGTCCCAATGTGGAGGTCTTCAGGTGATCTTCTCGGTTCTATCTTGGCATTAAAATTTACCAACAGTGATCTTGTAGAGTGTGTGGTTTTCTTTATAGAACTTCTCTGGCTCCATGTAGAACTTCTCAATTTCTTCTTCATCATAATTGGATGTTCATGCATAGACAATGAAGATAGAAACTTCTGGCAGTGAGCCACATCTGTTCAAGTGTAATCGTCTGATTCAGGTTGTTAGGCATTCGAATGAATCAAGGCTCATGGCCAAATTTGTGTTGACAAGGACACCAACACCACCAACGCCTCTTTTGTCGCATGTTCCAAGAAAAAATTCTTCTCCAGTGTTGAAAATGGCGTGATGTAATTGATGCCTTCTTGTCTTGTCAGACAAATGATGTGGTACTTGATCTTTTGCTCCTGCACCATCAGGTCCTTGATGGATGCATCAGATACCAACATAAGTGCATTGAAAGTACAGACAGTCATTTTTGTCCTTCTTTGTTTTGGCAGCCTGCTTCAGCCTTGATATTTTATCAGCCTCTCCTTCCTCATTCTTCTTAACGCTGCCTGTATTGGTGGCTCTTTTAGGGTCAGGAGAATGAGACCCATTGTATTTACTGGTTTTGGCATACTGAATGCGCCACGAATAACTTGCCAGGCTCTGTCATGTGGGCGGGATACTCTCGGTAGCTTGCCAGGCTCTCCTAGAGGGATAGAGGCTTTTAGGGTGGCCTCCATTCGCTCTCAATGGAACGAACATGTCCGAATGCAACAGTTATGTGTACCTAGGTCAAGAACTCAACATGACAAATAACCTGGCACCTACCTGAGTTGCGCAAGAGGAAGAGAGCAGCTTGGAACGTTCTTCAAGAGCGTCAAAGAAATAGCTAAGAGGACGAAGAACTCTGGCTCCAGGCATATCTCTTCCATTCCACTGTTCTTCCTCCATTAACATATGCCTCAGAGACCTGGGCCCTATGAAAACAGGATGAGAACGCTATTCGGGTCTCCCAAAGAGGAATTGAAAGAGCTATGCTTGGAGTATCACTCTTCATTCAAGTGAGAGAAAGAATCCGGAGTTTCGACTTCCATTGACGATCAAGAATCAGGGACGGTGTCCCATTTGCCAAGACGTCGAAAATCAGATGGGCTGGACATGTAATGTGATTTGGAAATTACCACTGGACTAGAGCCATTACCGACTGGATTGCATGGGACATCAAAAGATCACGTGACTGCCCACCTACAAGATGGTCAGACTTCTTCGTCAAGACCCTGAACGATCGGTTTGAGGCTCTTCATGTTCCTGAAGCATGCAGATTGGGCTACATTAGCATGCGACAGGGACGAACGGAGACATTACTGTCACCAGCTCGAGCAAATCAATGAGTAAGGGGATGTCAAGTGAGCAAGTGATCAAGAGATTTGCAGTAGAGTCCTTTGAAAGTTGAAAAGAAGAAAATAGCATCATGAAACAATGCATATTCGTCAAATATGCCTTATTTTACATGCCATGAAAGTTGTAAGTAAATTTTTCAAAAAACGAATTGTTCCTAGACCTTATATTTTGTTGCGGTGCAGGGGGCTGAATGCACTTTCTTTGACTTTTGGGCTACAATCGCAGCTCCCAAATGGTTTCTGAACTCTGTAAAGGAGTTTAGTGTTGACATAACCTTGAGAAGATCCTGTTTTTATGAAGAAAGCTGATTTTTCGAGGATATGATCACCTGTGAGCTACATGAGGGCCTGAGAGTCTAGGAGGGAGCTACACGATGGAGTCACAGCCGCTGGGGAGGTTGGGAAGTTTCCTAACCAGTCTTTTAAAAATGTGATTGTTGAACCAGACGTGCACAGGGTTGCCAGCCTGCTTTGGTCCCCGCACCAGCAGGAGTGACCTCTGAGCACTGCAGGAGTACCCCTCAGCTCTGCCAGAGGTGACCAAAAACTCCACCATCCCTGCCACCAAAAAGGTGACTTATTTGGAGAACTTCCCTCCTAGATACTCAGGGATCGTGCCTGCTCCTTGCTCGGGAGTGAGCAGGGTGCCTGGGCGTCTGAGGTGCTGTGACCGAGCTGGCCCATGTCCGCCTCCACTTCTTAAACAGATGCTGAGGCAGAACCGGCCTCTGCAAAAGGGACTTCAGTGTCTTATCTCACATCTACAGTTTGCTTATTTGTTTTTGACTTTGTGTGTTTGGGTTCCACCTGGTGATGCTGAGGGCTTACTTCTGGCTCTGCACTTTGGCTTCACTCTTTGCGGGCTCTGGGGGTCCTGGAGGGTGTTGGGCAAGTGCCCTCCCTACCGTGCTGTGACTGGCCCTCTCCTTTTCACAGAGAACCGTTCCTCTGAGGACGTACAGGGATGCCTGGGGGCTGCTCCCTCCCCAGAGGCCTTGGGGGGCCACCTGCTGACCAGGGCCTTTCTCTGGCCATGTCCTCTCTTGCAACGGGCAGTCTTGGAGAAAGCCAAGACCCCTTCGGTTCCGTGGTCTCCAGTCAGGGTAGGGCACCCCTTGCCCCTCAGAGGAGCTTTGCTCCTGCAGCACTTGGGAACCCCGCGACGCCTCCCGCAGTGCTTGGGAACCCCATGGTGCCTCCCACAGCTCTAGGGGACCCTATGGCGCTTCCTGCGATGCCTCCCACAGTGCTCAGGAACCCTGCAACACCTCCCATAGTGCTTGGGAACCCCGTGATGCCTCCCACAGCACTCAGGAACCCCACTACGCCTCCCACAGCGCTCAGGAACCCCGTGACGCCTCCCGCAGTGCTCGGCGACACCGTGGAGCCTCCCGCAGTGCTCAGGGACCCCGTGGCGCTTCCCGTGATGCCTCCCACAGTGCTCGGGGACCTTGCGATGCCTCCCACAGCACTCAAGAACCCCGTGATGCCTCCCACAGCGCTCAGGGACCCCGTAATGCCTCCCACAGCCCTCCCGCGGAGAAGTGGGTGCCCCCGCCCCTGGCCCTTCCCGGTGTCCCTGCAATCTGTGTCTCCCCTGGTATGGACTGCAATCTGCGGCCACAAGGCAGCTTGGCTGAGTCCCGACTGCGTGCTGCTGCGCCCTGGACGGGGTCTGGTGCCTGGTGTCCGGTGGCCGGTGCCCGCTGTCTGGGGTCCGCCAGCCTCACCTCACCCCGCAGGCCCGGAGGTGGCTGGGGTCTCTAGCTCACCTTCCCTGTGGCCGAGGCCCGAGTGTTAGCGGGGCTATGAGAAACGGGGCACTGGGCACCAAGAGAAGCCTCCCCTGGGGGGACCCAAGCAGGGCCTCTCCCCCACCAGCACTCGGGGAAGGGAGGGATGAGGGAGAGGGAGGGGTAGAAGGGAAGAGAGAGAGGGAGAAAGAATGAAAGAGAGGAAGAGGGGGAGAGGGAGGGAGAGAGAGATTCAGGCCACAGGAGCAGTGGCCCAGCTGAGGCCTGCATTGAGCAGCCTCCTGCCCACTCCAGCCAGCCCAGACACCTTGAGGAGTCATCCACACCTCAAGGTGAGAGCTGTGACAATAGGGGTGATCTTGGTGGTGTGCACAGTTACCCCCAGGTCTAGCCCCAAGATGCCAAGGAGAGCCCACCCCACTCCACGTGGATGCCTCTGAGAAACAGCTGTTTCAGGGCATGGTCTGCATCGGGCTCCTCTGCCGAGCCCAGGCAGACTGACCAGCCAGTCAGACTCTGACCAGTAGAGCTGGGTCAGACCCACAGAAGCTGCCGCAGCCTTGGTCTACCAAGGCCTGCCGCAGAAGTCCTCTGAGCCTAGATTCGAGCAGGCTCGCCCTGAAGCCAGGAGCCTGGAGTTGTTTCCATTGATGGTCTTCTGGGAGGAGGGGAAAGGGCTCCCAGGCGTGCAAGAAGCCTGGGCTCAGGTCGGCTTCCAGCAAGGCCACGATCCTTCATGACTGGGTGCCAAGAAAGCAACAGCAGGAGCAGCTCTCACCTTGAGACCCGCCTACTGTACAGGTCAGGGTCACAGCAGTTGTGTCAAACCAGTGGCACAGGAAGCTCCCCTGCCCTCACTAGCACTGGCTGGAAAACGCTTTCTCATTTCCAAGGGCATTTCCTATGCCTCTGGCCCTTCCTTGCTGTGCACAGTGAAGAGGCACGGGGTGGGGGTGGCGGGGGGAGGAAGGAAAGCTGCCCTCACTCTCAGGGAGAACCACTGTGCTCTGTACAGCCGCTCTGTGCAGTGCTGACTCTACTCTGACTCAAAGGACTGTGCTCCTTTGACAAACCCCAGCTGTTTCAGGGCATGGTCTGCATTGGGTTTTGACAAACCCCTATATAAACCCCTATAAAACAGCTTTGACAAACCCCTATGTAAACCCCTGTTCCAGACAGTCGTTTGCCTGATGATAGCAAGACCTTCTTAATGAGATGCTGGTGCTTTCCTTTACAGCCTGAAGCAGCCTGCCATCCTGCTGTATTCAGAATTGTTGATGAAATATTCAGGTAAATGCTGTGCTTCTTTTTTTTCTTTTTCTGTTATGCCCGGTGATGCACAGGGATTACTCCTGGCTTTGCAATCAGCAATTAATTACTCCTGGTGATGCTCAGGGGGCCATATGGGATGCTGGGAATCAAACCTGGGTCGGCCACGTGCAAGGCAAACACCCTCCCCACTGTACTATTGCTCCAGCCCCAATGCTGTGCTTCTTAAGGGTGTTATTCTACTGATATAATTTAACAATGCACTGTTTCTAAATGAGGCTCCAAAATTCAGTGAAGTTCCTGGCTATGCCCTAGGGAAATGCATTCCCCTCTCCCTCCCCTCCCCTCTCCTCCCTGTCTTTCCCTCCCTCTCATTTCCTCCCACTCCTCTCCCTTTCTCTCTTTCCTTCTTTCTTCCACCCTCCCTCACAAGCACCTTCCTTGCTTTTCTTTGACGCTTGAGAAAATTAGTTGCTGGTTCCAACTTTTCTGATTTTCTTTTTGTAAAAACCAAAAAACTATGTAGTTAAAAGCAGTAAAAGCAGTAAAATATTAAGATAACTTCCTTGAACATTTTTAGGTTTTAGTGATGTAGAAAATTGAATTAGTTGCCCAGTCATTAGTCTCGTAGGACTTTTCACCACTCAAGATAAGGGTAGCTGAGCAGACCCTTTCACCAGGTGTGGGCTAACCAATCTCTTTAAAGGATCTTATGTTAGGGAAAAATCAAGAAAAATGAATAAGTAGTGACTTTCTCTCTTATGGACAAATTCAAGTATGTGTGTTACCTTGTGTTATGTTTACTTTTATTTTGAAAATATAAGGAAGAACTCTCTGGGAATTGCAGCTGACAGGGGATAAGGAGACCTTGAAGGATGGAACTCCTGGGACTGACCATCCCTGGCGTCCACACTGGCCACCACATGATAGGAAACCCCTCACAACAGCACTGAGATCCATCAGGTGTCACCTCCTCACTCAGCACTAGGTCCATTAGGTGTCACCTCCTCACTCAGCACTGGGGTCCATCAGGTGTCACCTCCTCACTCAGCACTGGGGTCCATCAGGTGTCACCTCCTCACTCAGCACTGGGGTCCATCAGGTGTCGCCTCCTCACTCAGCAAGTGGTCCATCAGGTGTCACCTTCCTCCCTCAGCACTGGGGTCCATCAGGTGTCACCTCCTCACTCAGCACTGGGGTCCATCAGGTGTCGCCTCCTCACTCAGCACTTGGGTCCATCAGGTGTCACCTTCCTCCCTCAGCACTGGGGTCCATCAGGTGTCACCTCCTCACTCAGCACTGGGGTCCATCAGGTATCACCTCACTCAGCACTGGGGTCCATCAGGTGTCACCTTCCTCCCTCAGCACTGGGGTCCATCAGGTGTTGCCTCCTCACTCAGCACTGGATTCCATCAGGTGTCACCTCCTCACTCAGTACTGGGGTCCATCAGGTGTCATCTCCTCACTCAGCACTGGGGTCAATCAGGTTTCACCTCCTCACTCAGCACTGGAGTCCATCAGGCATCACCTCCTCACTCAACACTGGGGTCCATCAGGTATCACCTCACTCAGCACTGGAGTCCATCAGGTGTCACCTCCTCACTCAGCACTGGGGTCCATCAGGTATCACCTCACTCAGCACTGGAGTCCATCAGGTGTCACCTCCTCACTCAGCACTGGGGTCCCTCAGTTGTCGCCTCCTCACTCAGCACTGGAGTCCATCAGGTGTCACCTCCTCACTCAGCACTGGGGTCCCTCAGTTGTCGCCTCCTCACTCAGCATTGGGGTCCGTCAGGTGTCGCCTCCTCACTCAGCACTGGGGTCCGTCAGGTGTCACCTCCTCACTCAGCACTGGAGTCCATTAGGTGTTGCCTCCTCACTCAGCACTGGGGTCAATCAGGTATCACCTCCCTCAGCACTGGGGTCCATCAGGTGTCACCTTCCTCCCTTAGCACTGGGGTCCATCAGGTGTCGCCTCCCTCACTCAACACTGGGATCCATCAGGTGTTGCCTCCTCACTCAGTACTGAGGTCCATCAGGGTGTTGCCTCCCCCCATATACTTAGTACCGGGGGTTCTAGACAGAGTCTCGGCCCACACCATTCTTACATGGCCTTCAAATAATGGTGACATCTCCAGTTGGTCTGAGAATGCCTCAGTTTCTTCGTGAACTCAGAAGTTCATTGACTGAGCGCATGCTGCAGTTCGGGGCTCATGGGCACAGACCTCCGCCCCGCTCTTCCCGTCACCTGCCTGGAGCTGACCCAGCAGTCTGACAACACACTAAGGCGAGTGGATGTGATGACTGACCAGGACAGAAACCTGGTCGATCCGAACCCATTGCATTAAGATTGAAATTGCCAAAGCCCGCAGCACCCACATAGAGTTCCCACCCCTCTTCAGAGTTCAAGCTCACTTGTTTGCATCCAACTTTGCGTGCCTCAGGTCAGCCCTCCTGGAGACCGATGGCGCCCCGGAGATCCTGGCCACTCTTCAGGTGTTTATGTGGTGCTTTGTAGAAGCTCTGGAAAAAGAAAACAAGCAGGTTTGTAGTCCTATTCATTCAAGACCAATTACAGGGGAGACCGCTGAGAAGAGGTGCGAGTCCACACAGAGCGATCTGTTCCAATGGTTTGACACGTTTGTTGGTGAAGAGAATGTCTGGAGAATGCCCCATAAATGGGAAAGCCATGAGCCATTGAAAATAAACAAGTTTCATTTTTGTAAAATATTTTGTAGATATTTTTAATTTTTTGGTTTGGGGGCCAGGTCTGGCAGTGCCCAGGGCCTTTCCTTATCTCTGTAGGGATCACTCCTGGCAATGCTCAGTGGGGTGTTTAGGATCAAATCTGGATCAGCCATGTGCAAGGCAAATGCCCTCCCCACTGTGCCAGTCCATAAGCCACAAGTCTCCAGCCTGTGCTGATGGCCGGAATCTCTTCTTGTTGCATTGCAGGGCACTGTCCTCCTGGTCTGTCTCCCCCTCCAGGGCGACATTCAAGCCCTCCCAGGCCTGTAGGGAGCATTCTGAAGCCCACTGTGGCCTGTGCTAACTTAACAGCAATGTTCGTGTCTCAAAGCAGGGCTGCGAGCCCTTAGCCACCCTGACCCCATTCCCATCACATGCTCTGGGTCTCAAGGGGAAGGAGCCCAGGGGTGAGGGAAGAGCTAGGTGACGGCAGAGGAGTTCATGACGCAGCTCCAAGGGGAGCCCACTGTCAGGGCAGAGTCCAACTGCCGAGGCTGGCTCAGAGCAGGCCCTTTGTGACTGTCCCCCAGCCCCTTGGAATCCCTGCAGTGGCTGCCCTTTTGGGAGAAGTGCTGTGGCTTAAGTGCCCAGGGCTGTGCGCTTCCTGCCACGTGAGGCCCTTTCTGATTCAGGAGTCTGTGAGAGGAGACCAGCAGTGTGTGTGCTGTGCGTGCAGTGCTGTGCCTGCAGTGCTGTGTGTGCCATGTTTATAGTACATGCAGGGCTGTGTGTGCAGTGTTTTACTGTGCTGATGTGCTGTGTATCCTGTGTGTGCTGTGTGTGCTATGTGTGTGCTGTGTGTTCTGTACTGTGTGCTGTGTGTCTCTTTGTACTGTGTGTGCTGTGTGTACTGTATGTTCTCTGTGTACTATGTGTGCTATGTGTACCGAATGTTCTGTGTGCTATGTGTGTGTTGTGTGTGCTGTACTGTGTGTCTTTGTGTGTACCGTGTGTGTGCTGTGCTGTGTGTGCAGTGCTGTGTGTACTAACCATGCTGACCCTGATCTTAGAGAACCTCTCAGGACCTAGCCAGGAGTTCTGCTCCTTAGGATGATGGTCAGTACCTAAGATGGCCTTTCCCTGCCCTGCCCTGGTTGTTGGTGGGACTGCAGTGACCTATGACCACTGGTGCTCGCCTAAGATTCCAAGGGAAGCAAGCTTGGAAGGGGTGCTGGGCAGCCAGCACACACTGTGAGACAGCTGCAAACATTCCTTGTTTCTCAGAGTGTCCAGAGAGCTCCCCCTCATGCCTGCCAGTAGCTGGCTGGATGGAGCAGTGATGAGAGCAGCGCGGCCAAGGGTCGGGCTCCAGGTCTCTGTGCCGTAGACTCTGGGTGTGCGCTGGAGAATGACCCGTGGCAGTGGAGAGACCAGAGCCCTGAGCCCAGGCCGGGGTCCCTCCCTGCAGCCACATGGTCTCCCCTGGGGGCTGCAGCTGGCCCCCCCTCTGGTAGATCCTCACTGCAGCCCTTGGAGCCTTCGCTGGGAAGCTGCCAGGATGCAGCCCTTCTCCTTGGGGCGTCTGGGTTGCTTCTGGGTTATCGTGTCGTTCTGGAAGTGCTGCTATGACACGTGCAGAGGATTCTCGGCACTGCTGAGCTCCCCCTGCCAGCTGGGCCGGGGGTGTCAGCAGCCGTGACCCCGTGCCTCTCTCCATGCCCACCCGCTGCCTTGCCCTGCACAGCACCATCCAACACTGGCCCAGCTGCACCAGCTGGCCGGACCCGGGCCGTCACAGCCACTCCTTCTGCACATGCCAGGGGTCCGGTACAAAGACACTCAGTTCAGAGCAGGGCAGTGGCAGTGCCAGAGGCCCAAGGACGAGTGTCCCAACAGAGCACCATGTCTCATTCTGAGGAAAACATTTTCCAAAACTGCTTGGTGGTTCTGGAAAGCAACCAGAAGTGTAGCTAGGATTGAGGGCTCACCCCCGATGAGAGAAACCACCCTGTACTCCTCCCTCCCAACAGTGATACCACAGGATGGGAGCACAGCTAGAACTCAGGAGAGAGCCTGGGCCACCAGGAAGACAGGACAGATGCAGCGGCAGGAAACTGATAGCAGAGGGTCAGCCTAAATGAATCAAAGAGTACGTTTCTTATCAAACAAAAAATAACCAGGTATACTAGTTAAAAGGAGAAACTTGAGGTTGGAAAACTATGGCCCAACTGTATTTTGGTTTTAGGAGATCCACTTTATTTAGCAAGATACAGATTAAAGTAAAAAAAAAACAAAAGGAGGGCAGTGGGGAGACCATGCTGCAGCAGGAAGTCGCTTGCCTTGCCTTGCATGCAGCCAACCTGGTTTCAACACCCAGCACCCCATATGGTCTCCAGAGCACTGCCAAGAGTGATCCCTGAGCACAGAGCCAGGAGCAATCCCTGAGTACCTTGAAGTGTGACGTGAAAGGGGGTATGATGCCACCAGCAGGTCAACCTGCACCTGCAGGGCGAGTACATCAGCAGCCTGATGGTGCCTTCAGACTTCCTGGTACCCTAAAATTGCCTCTGTGCCTTTGGCCGAACCCCAACAACTTGGGGCCAAGTTTTTTCTGTATATAATTTTTTTATTTTATAAAGTAGTTCACAATATTTGATTATATTTAATATTCAAACACCAATCCCACCACCATTACACCTTCCCCCCACCATATTTCAAGGGTTTCCATCCCAAACCCCAATACCTGCCCTAAAGCAGAACTGAAATAATGTAATATTTCCCTCTAAGGTTGGTTGCCTCCTACGTCGAGTCCCATCAGCTGTGGTGTGGTATCTTGCAGTATGGGTAGGGTTTGTCCTATGAAGTGTTGCCATCCAGGGAAAGGTTCACTCGTGGGTGAGGTTCGGTCTGAGAGTGGAGAGTGGCTGTGAGCAGGGCAGCAGTTGAGCTCCAGAGATTTTCGGCTGCTAGGGCTGGTCCCTTGGGGTTAGGAGGGGTCTCACCCGCCCCCTTCCGGGGTACCCCAAGTGAAACAACCTGGCACGGGGTCCTGTGGCATGGCTATGGCGAGCGTCATCTTGATCCCTTCCAGGAGAGAAGGACATGTGATCTGGATGGTAGCTGATGACTGAATTATCCCGGTGGCTTATGCGCATGACTGCTGAGTTGCCGGACACTGGGGTATGGGGGGGTGGTGAGTGACAGGCAGAGGATCTCTGTTCCTGGTCCCGTTGAACCCAGAACTCATCTTTTTTAAGATAATAAATATTTAAGAAAACATTCTGTTCATGTTATTGCTAGTGGCTCTGTTTGGGGCAGAGGATGCGAGGTTTTGTATTAACACCTGCTCCCAGTTCATGCTGTTTTGAATTTTTCATTGTTTTTTTATAGCTGAAGTTTCCGCTCCAAGCCTACTTTCCTTATGCGTCTCCAGCTCTCATCATGATGCTGCTTCAACGCCCAAAAGGTATGTGGAGGCTGCTTCTGGGGGGAGCGCCCAGCACACCCAGCCCTCCTGGCTTCTGACTGACCCACCAGGGCGTTCAGCTGTCCTTCCCGACGTCCTGCAGGGGGTGTTGGATCCCTTTTCTTTGGAACTTGGTGTGAGAATTTGCTGAAATCCCCACTTAGGATCACTCTTCTGCTCTCAGGAGAAACAAAGCCTTGAGGCAGGTCTGGCTCTCATGCTTCAGGGCCCGGGGCCTGCTGTGCCCAGGTACCAGCCAGGACATGGGTCAGCTTCAAGGAAATTACATTTATTTGTATTCCTTTTATCCTACTTTTGTTCCTCGCTGCAGGAGGGGAGAAAAGATAAAATGATTAATCAAGCAGATTTTAGTAGAGGTATTGGACCACAGCTCCCTCAGCCTTCCCCCAGAGAGGATGGTCCATCCTACCTGTCTGCTTGTCATTCAGAAGCAGAATAAAAGCATCCGTTCCTGCCACAGCCTCCAGCCTGAAGGAAAGCTGGGCATAAGCTGCACGGTCAAAGGCAGCGTCTTCAGAGGGTAGGATAAAACATCAGTCATGTCTCCTTGTTGGTTTGTTTGGTTTTGGAGTCACACCTAGCAGTGCTCAGGGCTGACTTCTGGCACTGCTGAGGGGTGATTCCTGGCAGAACTCAAGGATAAGTCTCCAGGGAAGGGATGGCGCCTCACCACACTCTACTGGGCCACTTTTGTCTCCCTTTTTCCCTGAGACTAGAGTAAATAGATTTGAGGAAAGTGATTCAAAGCTTTATAGCATTTTGCAAAATCTAAATTTTCCCACTGCTAAAAGCTGTAGGTTCTCACCCATAGTGACCCACTATCTCTGGGATTCTAGAGACTTGGGGTGCTAATATCTGTCAGGGTCTCTGGTCAAACATATTGGAGGAACTGAACCTGTGGCAGAATGTGAGAGAACTTGAGAACACTAAGGAAAGTCAGTGACTCCCTTCCCAGAGTCCCCCCAGAGAGCTGCAGTCAGGCCTGCAAAGCCCCGTGAAAGTCCAAGTGCTCCTGGCTCCAGGATTGGAGTCACTCTGCCATGGCCCAGAGCAAGGGAGGAAGTTTGGGGGGTTAGGGCTGCTACCCTCTGCCCTCTTTCCTAGAACGGTACTCTGCATGTCACTTTTGGAAGACATGAATGTCATTCTCACTGGTGGTTTGAAGCAGTTTGTAGCAGTTTTCTGTTAATCAGAAATTGATTTTGCATCCCCTGTAAGGTCCTATGTGGACATAGAGAGTGAACCACTAACGAACGCTGACTGTCCAGGAGCCCAGGCAAAGGGAACAGGAAGGAAGCTGAGTATGCGTGACTAATACAAAGAAGAAAACAAAACACGTCTTCCCAAGGCTCACAGAGCACCGCGGGTCAGAGGGAGAGTCTGGTGCTGTACCTGCCATCTGCATGTCTGTGGAGCAGCCGTGGTGTCTCAGTTACATCACCTTTTGTGTGTCTTCAACTGTGAAGTCTCCGAGTACATGAAAATGGAGTAACCATTTTCAGATGCTGCTCAGAGACATACATGCTCTGTTTAAAGCCACTGAATTGTGGAAAAACAAAACAGAAAACAAGCTTAGTAAGAGACATCTCTTGTGAGTGGTGCCCCATTCTCTGCCCCTCTCACCATAGACTGACTGTCAGAGTCCAGGTGAAGCCCAGGCCTGGAGGCGCAGTGGGCAGCGCACTCCTTCCTGGCCATCCTTCGTCTCCACATATCCCCTTGGGGCCTGCACAGGACTGTGGTAGAGGTGGGCACAGAGCTCAGCAGCCTCTGCAGAATCATCCTGGCATTTTGCTCTGAGGACACTGATGGACCTTTCTTCCTAGGCTAAGAGGAGACGCTGTGTGGGTTCCAGGCCGGAACAAAAGGCCTCCCCTGCGGCTCAGGGTCTCGGCGGGAGACCGTGCCTCAGTCCCTCTCTCTCTCGCTCCTGACAGGCGCTCCACAGGCACAGTGGCTGCAGCCACTCAAACAGCTCTCCGACCAGCTCCGAGAAGCTGCTGAGGAACAGAGTGACGGGTACGCAGACTGCAAGGGGCCGGGGCTGCTTCCCACGCAGGGTTCATGCTCCTTCTCCGAGTGGGACAGGAGGGTGCTGGGCTGGGCTCCAGGCAGCCCCGAAAAGCAGTGCCAACCAAGGGAAGCGGGCGAGCAGCCTGGCAGGAGCCCTCTGAGTGTCTCCAGGAAACAGGCATTGCTGGGGGGCACCTGGCTCAGTGTTGGGACCCAGAGGCAGGACAAGCAGCAACGAGAAGGAATGCAGAGCCCCTTCTGTGACTCTGCTTCCTTTGTGGAGCCGGGGAGGGGCCTTGTCCCAGTGCTCAGGACTCGCTCCTGGTGGGCCCAGGGGCCCCTATACAGCACCAGGGATCAAGCCTCAGTCAATCCAGGAAGTGCAAACGCTTTAACCCACTGTTATTCTCTGGCCCACTTCTCTTTCTCAGTTTTGTTGTTGTTGTTGTTGTTGTTTTGTTCTGGGGCCACACCCAGCAGTGCCCAGGGCTCACTCGTGTTGGTGCTCCGGGATCAGGCATGTGCAAGGCAAGCACCCGGCCTACTGTACTCTCTTTCTGGCTCCCTTCTCCTCTTTTCTAATAAGTATTTGAGATTTGAAAATTAGAAAAGCATTTGATTCTGGGTTTGTTTTGAGGCCTCACCCAGTGGTGCTCAGGGCTTACTCCTGACTCTGTGCTAAGGGGAACTGGTAGGGCACCGTGGAATCGAACCCCGGTCAGCCACCTGCAAGAGAAGCACCTTACCTGCTGTACTCTCTCTTGCCCTCTTCTGTTTTCTAAATAAATATTTTTAATTCTAAAGTTAGAAAAAGCATGAATAAATTCATTTCTGATGCACTGATGATAAATCACCTTTTTAGTTAATTTTGGTGATGGATTTATGACCGCACTCCACAGTGCCCGGGAGATGCTCCAGCTCTGTGCTCTGGAGTTGCTGGTGGAGGTGCTTGGAGACTGTGTGGGGCTGGGGCGGGCGCACGCAGCCTGCGCCTCCTCCTGCCAGCCCGGGGTGCCTTTTGACTGCTGTTTCTCTGAGAGCATTTCCGAAAGACTTTGCTTTTGCTTCTTTGTAAAACGCCCTTCAGCCTGACCCTGTGCCCTCGTCCTTAGAGTGCCGCTGATCTGTTCTGCCGTAGCGTGTTGGCACTGCACCTCTCTCTTCCTCTGGCTGCTGTCCCCTCCTGACACCCCCTAGCCGTATCACTGAGCTGCACCGAGCAGGTTACTTCCGTCCACGGGTGTGATGCGGGTTTGGCCTCCAGCTCGTGCACAACTCCCTCTGCGAGATTCTCTCCAACAGACACAAGCAGGGGTCAGAGAACAGCTGCCTCCCCATGGATGCCGCCCCGGAGAGCAGGTGGGGAACCCACCCGACGGACTCCACCACCCCAGCCACGAGGGCTGCTGAGGGCTCAGCCTGCCTCTGCCCGGCCAAGCAGAGGCCTCTCAGGGGACTGGCTCAGAAAAACCCCTCCCCCCACTTGCTCACGTGCTCGTGCCCATCTCCTCGTGCAGGGGACCCAGACCGATGCTCCTTTTTCCTCCTGGGCTCTGTGCTGCCCACGCGCTGCAGGCCACAAGCACCTATAGCAGCTCCCGGCAGGCGCTTAGACTGTGCAGCCCTCAGGCAAAGCCACGGAATTTGGGACTTGGATCCCACAGAGAAGGGCCCCATCGTCTCCCAGTCCAGGAGCACCCCAGTGCAATTCCCAAGGAAAGTATAGATTTCGCTTCATCCAGCACTGTCCTGAACTCCTCGCCAGCAAGATGTCTAACTGCCGAGACTTGCTGCAGAGTCGCTCACTCCCATTTATGGGGGTTTCTTCCCTTCCCGTGGTTGTGAGGAGCAGAGTGGACAGGCCCCTGTCTGGCACAGAGCCACACAGTCTCCTGAGCACCCCACAGTGGTCCCTGAGCACAGCCGAGAGTGAGCCCTGAGCACCACCGAAAGTGGCCCCCAACCAAAATAAGCCACAATTGCATTCTGGGTTCCCAGTGTGACATCAGGACAGCTTTAGTACCTTTTCAGCAGTGGCATCTCAGTGAAAACGGAAAGAATATGTAGCTCATTTAAAAAGTTGCAATTGCCAGAATGCCAGTCTTGTTTTGTCAGCGTAAACAGCCCAATTCTGCCGTGTCCCCATTTCTCCTCTGGGTCCCAGGCCCCTCTGCATGTGTCCCGAGCTGCCAACTGGCCTCTCAGACTGCAGCCCCTCCTCACTGCTTCCTGCTGGCTATGGGCCCACTGTCCTTGCTGCAGCCCTGCACTCACTTGCAGTCCCTGGATGTAAGGACATACATATTTTAAGTCTCGGGGCACACAGGCTTTGAGCTGTCTGCCTCTGCAGGCCCCAAGCTGGGTTTAGAAAGGCACTGTGAGCTGGTTCCTGAGTCAACTTGTCCTTGGAAGTTGTACTTCAGGAGTAAGACACATTTCAGTGAACCATTTACCAATGCTCAGTGAGTTGTTTTTTTGGTTTTTTTTTGGTTTGGTTTTTTTTTTTTTTTGCTTTTTGGGTCACCCCCAATGATGCTCAGGGGTTACTCCTGGCTTTGCACTCAGGAATTACTGCTGACGGTGCTTGGAGGACCATAAGGAATGCCAGGGGTTTAACCCAGGTCAGCTGCGTGCAAAGCAAATGCCCTCCCCACTGTGCTATCGCTCCAGCCCCGTTCAGTGACTTTTCAGAAACCAGGTGACAAGGGAATTGCTCTGTTTGGCTGCCACATGCTCTGTTCTGTTCTAGGTCCTGGCGCACGGCCTTCGAGAGCTGGTTTCTGTTGGTTCACTTTGGAGAGTGGGCTGGTCTGGCGGCCGAGCAGCTGGTGAGGTCAGAGGCGGAGCCCCCGGAGGCCCTGCTGTGGCTCATCTCCTTCAGCTACAGCCCAGAGGCCGGGAGGCAGCAGCGAGCACAGACCATGGTGGGTGTTGTTGGGGAGCGTCTTGGGAGGGCCCTGGCAGGTGGATTTGGCGTCTTTGCCTCCCTCTCCTGGGCACAGCAGTGCCAAGGCCCTGAACGGCCTGTGTGCTGGTGAGATGGTGTGCAATGGACTCTGGAGGCTTTACCCTGCCCTCAAAGAGCTGACCAGGACAGGCACTGCTTCCTGTACTTGGGAACATGGAGGAGAGGACCTTTAGCCCATGCGCCCACCCAGGCGGGCGTGGCCCCATGCCTTCCTAGTGCATGTCCTCTCGAAGCAGGAGCTTCACCCGTCTGTCTTGGTAAGTCCTTAGGCTCAGCAGCACTGACCCTGGGATAAGGGTCAGCTCAATTCAATGTCCCTAGGTGCCAGGTGCCGGCCGGCTCCCTGTGGTAGAGACAGTCCATAAAGTGCCACAGTCACAGGCCAGTGCTCTGACTCCAAATACCACACAGAGGAGTTTACTCTCTCAGCCGCCGGTGTTTCTTGCTGATCTTACCCAGTCAAGGGGGTAAAATGGATTACCTGGATTTGGCGAGTGGAGCTCCTACTTGCTTCCTGTTTTCTGTTGAAAAAGGCAGAAACAGACACACACGTGTCCAGATCCTGGATCTGATGGTAGAACTCACTAGGCAGGCTGGCATATGCTTGGGGAGTGGAAGGCCTTGGGTTGAGACACAAAAGCAAAAAAATAAAGTTGCATGGCAGTTGAAAAGAAGAAAGGAGTTTTGAATTTTGCTCGATTTGCTCGAGCGGGCCCAGTAACGTCTCCATTGGAGATTTTGTTGTTACTGTGTTTGGCATATCGAATACATAAAAGGATGAAATTTGCTGATAATCAATTTTGGATGAAAAATTAAAGCATTGTTAAGGAATGGAGCGATAGCACAGTGGTAGGGCGTTTGCCTTGCACAAAGCCAAGCCAAGTTCAATTCCTCCACCCCTCTTGGAGAGCCCAGCAAGCTACCGAGAGTATCACACCCACGTGGCAAAGCCTGGCTAGCTCCCCGTGACGTATTCAGTATGCCAAACAGTAACAAGAAGTCTCAAAATGGAGATGTTACTGGGCCTGCTCGAGCAACTTGATGAACAACAGGAGGACAGTGTGTTAAGGAATTACCTTGAGGACCAGAGAGACAGGATGGAGGTTAAAGTGCTTGCATGACACAGCCCGGCCACTGCAGACCATCTCTACATGCTGTCCCCACCAGGTTCGAGTCCTAAGTTTACACAGAGGTCTAGCCCCTGAATACCACCAGGTGTAACCCCAAAACCAAAAAAAGGAATTGGTCCTCAGAGCTGGAGAGAGAGAACAGCAAGGAAGCTGCTTGCCTTGCATGCGGCCAACCAGGTTCAATCCCTGGCCCTGCAGTTGGTTCCCGAGCCCAGCACAAGCAAGCCCCTGAGTAGAGCCAGGAGTAAGGCCTGAGCATCTCCGGGTGTGGCCTCAAAACTGAAAGGAAAAATGGTTCTTTATATCTCATTGCTATCTGATATGAAACAAAAAGTCTCCTGTCCCCTACCTTCCTTCCTTCCAATTCTGGGGCCACCCATAGAACACACAGAGCCTCTGGTGCTCTGGGTCATGTGTGGTGCCAGGAGTCAAGACTGGGCAGACGCCAGGCAGTGTCTGGACCTTTGTACTGCCCACCCCCCCACCCCCAATGTTGCTGTAACCAAAATCCTCAGTATTCCCCCTTCCCCACCCCTGTTCCAGTCCTTCCCTGCCTATGTGGCAGGCAATTTCCCCCATACTCTCTCTCGGTTACATTTGATATTTCGACATCAGTCTCACCACCACTCAAACTTGCTGAAAAAACAATGCCAGATAATTTGTTTTGTATTGCTTGTCATGGGTAGAATATAATGTCCAGGAAATTCTGTGTCATTCTCTTCTGGGAGCTTTTGTTTATAGTCTCTGGGTCTTGGCCATTGATGAGATTATATGGTGCTGGGGGAGGTTTGTGGGTGTGACTGCCAAGCTACTGGAAAACTGGGGACCTGTGGGGAGGAGGCCCAGTCCCCATCCGAGCGGGCTTGGAGATCTCAGTCACAGGTTCCTACATGCCTGGGTTTTCCTGCTGGTCCACTCTACAGTGAGGTTCATCCTGTCTTGGGTGAGGCTCATCGCCTCTTGGGAGAGCTCGTCCGAGTGTGTGGAGAGTGGCTTTGAGCATGGCGATGGTTGAGTTCTGGAGGTTTTCGGCTGCCGGGGCTCTGCTTGGGACCGGGAGGGCTCCTCAAACTGCCCCCTCCAAGGTGCCCCAGTGAGGACAGCCTGGCATGGGGTGAGGAGATTCTACGGTGCTCTCTTCCAGGAATTTTAGTTTATAATATCTGGGTCTTGGCCGTTGATGAGATTTCATGGTGCTGGGGGGCGGTTTGTGGGTGTGACTTCCAAGCTACTAGAAAACTGGGGAGCTGTGTGGGGGGGGGCAGTCCTGATCCAAGCAGACCTGGAGATCTGTCATGGATTCTCGCCTACCTCCGCACTACAGGCCCTAACTGCATCTTTTGATCTATTTCAAGATTTATGGGTCTCTGAAATAAGGCCAATAAGTGAGCTTATGTAGCTGAACCAGAGGTGATTTGTGAGTCTGACACCCACATACCTAACTTTTGACCACTTAATTTCTTGGTAAACTTGTTTCCAAGTTGTTGGGGTCACAGCAGCAAATTTGGATTATCTGGAAGTCTGAAGACACTATCAGGCTGCTGATGCACTCCCCCCACAGGTACAGGTTGACCTGCTGGTGGCAGCATACCCCCATCAAAATGTATTTCTCCACGCCCATTATTTCTGAAGTCCTCTTAAATATACTTTACTTTGATTGGAAGCCAAGTGGATGGGTCATAGACTAAATTCCATGTTCATCATAGAAAGTGAGTTTGACAGAGATTCACTTTTATAGGGTTTTCTGGGGCCACACCCAACTGTGCTCAGGGCTTACCCCTTGCTCCGCACTCAGGGATCACTCCTGGCAGGGCCCAGGGACTCTGCATGCTACCAGGGATCAAACTCGGGTCAGCCACATGCCAGACAAGTTCCCAACCTGTTGTGCTATCTGGCCAGCCCTTGGATTCAGTTTTGAAGTATAGAGCATGGAACTGTCCCATAGATTTCATTTCTGTGACATCCTGCATTGGGCCTTTGTTTTAATAAAACCTCTGCAGGCCAGAGAGACGATGGCTAAGGCTGAAGTGTAGACTTTGCACTTTGCATGCAGGAGCCCCAGATTTGGTCTCTGGGACCAGTTGGTCCCTTGAGCACCCCTCAGGAATGCTGGATGTGTCTCCAGATCGGTAAATAAGTGAGACCTGAGCCTAATTCATTCTTGGTGGTTGCTGTGCTCTATGTCAGTGACTCTGTGCTCTCCATCCCTTGCTGTTCACCATCTGCTGACCTTTGGCCAGGCGCATGTGTGCCCCAGACCCTCTTGTTCCCTGGTACCCAGCCAGAAGGACTAGCTAGCGTTTGGACATACCTCACTGACCTCCTGCCTTCCTCTCTTCGGGCTTTAAATCCATTAGCCATCTAGTGGGGAACCAGAGAAGCAGAATGAACTGCCTTTGAATGTGTGATCCCTGTGAGATTTGGCTGAGCTTCACTGTGTCTGAGCCATGGGCCATGGAACTGCTGCCCCACCTGCCGTCGGGGGGGGGCGGGGGGAAACAGTCACTTCTAGGGCAAAAGCTGCCCGGCTGAAGCTGAAGGCACCGACCCCTGAGCCATACTCCTCTCTTTGTTCATCTTGCACCAACTCTTAACTGGTTCTTTAAGAAAACTCAAAGTCTCTATTTAGACGTGCTTAAAACAGAGTCCAGGATGGCCCCCACAACCCCACTGTGCCATTCCCAGAGACAGGGAGAAGTGTGCACTGGGGTTTGTGCTGTGTGGAGCCCACAGAAACCCTACCATGGCTTCGAGAGATGCTGAGTAGGCCCAGGTGACCGTGCCGGTCTGGGGTGAGAGGAAACGGAAGAGCGATCTCGCAGGGTGCTGAGTGGAGCAGGGCACCTCCGCCGGGCTGTGCCCCACCTGCCCCCAGGCTTGCCCTGTGCTCAGGGAGAGCAGGAGCGTCCCGAGACCCTGGTATTTGTCACAGACTTCATTGAGGCCTTAAACTCCAGAAACAAAAAACCAACATGCACAAAATCCCCAAGGTTGGTCTCAGGAACTTCTGCATAAGCTCTAGTATTCTCTCAGAGATGAAGGAGCATCGTCCAGTTTATAAATTCCGTGGGGCATTTTAAATCTATGGCTTTTATTTTTTGCTTTGTTTTCCATGTTGAAACTTGCTATCCCATTCTTGAAGCAAACAGAAGTCTCAGCATGAAATATTTTTTTAATGTAAAAACAACTTCAGCGGTAGGGCGTTTGCCTCGCACGCAGCCAACATGGCCGGACCCGAGTTCGATTCCTCCGCCCCTCTCGGAGAGCCCGGCAAGCTACCGAGAGTATCTCGCCCGCACGGCAGAGCCTGGCAAGCTCCCCGTGACGTATTCCATATGCCAAACACAGTAACAACAAAGTCTCCAATGGAGACGTTACTGGGCTCGCTCGAGCTCGAGCAAAAACAACTTACAGGTCTATAACAAATAAACCGTTATTATTTGAATTCCAGTCTTGTGACCTCTATTTGAGCTTAAAACATGTTTGAGTACACAGCCTCAGTGTTTGCATGCATGTGTGTGTGCTTGTGTTGTGTGTATGTTGTGTGTGTATGTGCGTGCGTGCATGTGTGCGAGTGTGCATCCTCCAAAGATGCCAGGAGGAACCCCTGGCACACACACTGAGGTCAGCAGCACGTCTTGGTTGATTTGTAGCTGAGATAGCGAGCAAGTGTTCAAGGAGTCTTTTGTTTTCCCCACAATATAAAAATCTGACTGCATTCTGCTGAGGACTTTTCTCCATTTCATTTTATACCAAAAAAAAAGGGGGGTGGGGGCCAGGGGACTGGAGAGATAACACAGCATTTGCCTTGCATGTGGCCAACCCGGGTTCAATTCCCAGCATCCCATATAGTCCCCCGAGCACCGCCAGGAGTAATTCCTGAATGCATGAGCCAGGAGTAACCCCTGTGCATCACCGGGCGTGACCCAAAAAGCAAAAAAAAAAAAAAAAGGTCAGTTCTGGCCTGGTGCCCTGACTGCTTAGTGAACAAGAAGAAAGCAAGCCAAGAAGTTTCCGTGTGCTGCATGTGGGTGTGGGGCCGACACAGGCCCCTCTGTCTGCCCGCCCGGCGCCAGCTCCTCGTGTCTGGGGTGGTTCCCAGCCCTACCCTGCCTGGCCCTCACGCCTCTGACTGTCTTTCATCTCTTGTAATGCCAGGTGGAGCTGGGGGCAGTTTGCCATCGCCTGAGGGGGCTGCGTGGAGCTGCTCTCCTCTCAGCCCGTGAGCTGCAGGCCGCTGTGGGCCTGGACAGGCCTGGGGGGCCCAGACAGCTCTCCTGCCACCTCCTTTTGCTCTTCCTGCTCTGGACTCCCCGAGGACACACGGCCGCCGCAGAAGTCATCACCCTGGTGAGTTTCCTTCCTCGTCTGCTTCTGTTCCATCGGTTTTCTGGGATGCAGGTCATTTGCCCAGAAAGGGCCACAGCATGCAGTGAGCAGCAGAGTGTCCACAGTGGGCAGGTGATGGCCAGACCAACAGAGATACAGGCCTTCAGTCATGGACAAGAGAGGGGTGACTTGGGCCTCAGCATCTGCCAGAGCTGTGGGGAGAGGAGGGTCCCCAGGTTTACTTTCACCTTCCATGACAGTCAGCAGACAGCAAATGCGCAGTCTGATGAGCACACACATGTGCGCGCATACACACACACACGCACGCACACGCATGTACACACATGAGCATGCATGCATGGCACCCATCCTACTCCCCAAGCCCTGTCCAGGGCTGCTCTGTGTGAACATGCATGAGAGAAGTCTAGTGACCTCCAAGACTCAGGCCCAGAGCCAGCATGTGGCCCCCAGTGCCTGGCCAACCCACGCTCCACTCGCTCCGCCCAGAGACCTGAGGGGCATCCCTGGGGAATGACACTCACCCCTGGCATGACTGGAAGGGAGGAAGACACAGTGAGACCTTAGAGATGTCTGGGAGAGCATGGCAGGCAGGCATCATGCACACCGCCAACCCAGCTTGGTCCCGGGCTCCCCATGTTCCCCTGAACACCTCCAGGAGTGATCCCTGAGCACTGCCAAAGGTTGTCCAAAACCAAAACCCTGAAAGCCAGTGCCACTGTTCAAGGTGTCAGGGCCCACCCCAATAGGGCTGGTCTCACTGGTAGCCTCACCTGTGCTGAATGGAGTGAGGATGAGGCTCTCACCTCTGAAGCCTCCCCCAGCCCAGCCATGTGGAAAACCCAGTGAGACAGTAAAACACCTGTTGAATTCCTTAGAGCTGTCGTCATAAACCACAGGGAGTCTGAGGAGCTGTCCCAGCCAGAAGGCACCCAAGGAGGTGACAGCCAGACACAGTCTGACACTGGGATAAGTGGCAGCTGCATGGGCTGGCCCAGGCTGCATGTGGGAGGCCCAGGGTCAACTCTAGGCTCCACGTGGTCCTCCAGCACTGCCAGGGATGACCCTGAAACAGAGCAAACAAAGTGATACAGTATCAGGACTGGAGAGATAGTCCAGCAGGAAGGCACTTGCCTTGCATGCAGCCGGCCCAGTTTTGGTCCCCAGCACCTCATATGGCTCCCCAAGCCTGCCAGGAGTGATCCCTGCATGCAGAGTCAGGAGTAAGTTCTGAGAACCTGGGTGTGACCCCCCAAAATAAAATAATAATAATAATAATGCATCCTAGTGTCTAAACAAAGTAGACGTCAGCGGAAATCTAAAGAGAGATCAGAATAAAATCTGTTCTTTATTTAATAAAAATATATCCAGGCTGTTTTATTATGACAAAATATATCTGTAAGTTGTTAATGAGCGTGGTAAACCAAGCATGAGGCTTTATAATCTCCATAGTATCTTTTCAGCAAAACAAGTCTGAAATATCTAAAATCAAATTATTTCAAAAAGTTGCAGCAAGCAATTAGGAATACTGAGTGTTGGCTGGACTCTGGCGAATGACCTCTGCCACTCACAGGCCCTTGCAGGCCTGGCTGGTCTCCGTACCCCTCCCCGAGAGCCCACACCTCCTGTCTTCTGTCATGCTCCCCCAGAGCGGAGAAGCAGGCTCGGGTCTGGGTCGGCCTCTGTTGGGCCACAGGTGGGAGCACTTAACCAAAGAAAGTTCCTTACTCTGACCACATTCCATCTCATCGCATGGAAATGACCCCCACACAGAACTGCCCTGGGTTGGGGACGGCTCAGCCAGCTGGAGCACACGCGGGAGACCGGGATCTCACACCAGAAGCACCCAGAGCACAAAGCTGGGAGTGGCACCTCCAGGGGAAAGGAGAGAGGGTCCAGCTGCTGACTGCAGTTGCCACTGGCTAGACCCATCTGGGTCTCCAAGGGAGTGGCTGAGTGTGTGAGTATATGTGAGTGTGTGTGTGTGTTGTGGCATTGTTAAAAGTCTGCCACAGGGGACAAGGTCTGGGTGTTTGAAGAAGGGACACTGGCAACAGATGTGATGTTGGAACAGGTCTGTAGGAACCCCTACACCACAGTACTATTAATCGCACTCCTGAAAATTAAAACTGGGCGTTGGGATGGAGGATGGGGGAGGTCTCTGGGCCACACCCAGCGGTGCTCAATGGCAGAAAGCTCACTCCTGGCTCTGTGCTCAAGGAGCACTCCTGCAGGGCGGGATCCAACTCTGGCCTGCTGCTGTTCGCCTTTGGGCTGTTTTAGGGCTGGTGACAGTAACATCACCTCTGTTTCATTTTTATTTTCTTCGAGATAGCACAGCGGGTAGGGCATTTGCCTTGCACGCAGCCAACATGGCCGACCCGAGTTCGATTCCTCCGCCCCTCTCGGAGAGCCCAGCAAGCTACCGAGAGTATCTCGCCCGCACGGCAGAGCCTGGCAAGCTACCCGTGACGTATTCGATATGCCAAACACAGTAACAACAAAGTCTCCAATGGAGACGTTACTGGGCCCGCTCGAGCAAATCGACGATCAACGGGAGGGCCTTTACTTTTACTTTTACTTTCTTCGCGATATTTCTTTTTAATAATCTTGATCTTCCATATATTGTGTATTGTACTCTTATTTTGTTAAACATTTTTAAATCATGCTTGACCGGTTCAATATTTTTAATGGAATCACTGTGAGATACACAGTTACAAGCTGTTCAGGGTCCAGTCTCACAGTCTGGGGGAGGTGGTGGCTAGAGGTGGGAAATGTAACTCTGTTTTATTCCTTCCCAAGAAACTTATTCCAGGGCCCCTTGTCAGCCTCCTGCTTGCAAACCACAACACATCTGCATTTTCAGCAAATGTCATTAATCAACTCAAATGCCCCTCCCCCTCAATCCATTAAGGCAGTTTTTCTTAGCACAGTGATCTCTTGGTAGTTGGGTCCTGCTGTCTTGGCATTTTGAAACCATGCAAGCTTAAAAACCTCCCTATTGACTAAGTTTTACTTTGTCTTGCTTTGCTCTGCAGTGCTGGGGAGGAGCTGAGACCTTGCACAGAAAAGGCCTCTGTCACTGAGCTCTGCCTGTTCCCACACCTATTCTGAAACACATCCTAACACCAACACATACCCACACATATGTTCTCATACATACAAACATACACACGAGTACAGTTGCACACAGACACATGTGTGCACATGCAGACACCCCCACCCCGTGTCCTTTTCCTCCCACCATCATCTGTCCCTCCTTCAAATACCCACCGCCGCACCACTGTCGGCAGACTTTTACCAGGTCCACCTCTCCCCCCACACATGCACACAAACAAGCATGCATACACACAAGCACATACACAGACAGACATGCATATATATACATGCATGCTTGCATACATAGGCATGGACAAATATTTTCACAGACACACATACATATGCATGAATGTGTTACGTGTGTGCTCATGCATACACCTAATATGGATACACACATACTAAGACATTCACTTATAGCTCAGGTTTCTCTTCAAATTGTATACTTCTTTTGCCTTTTAAGATATTCACTTATGTTCATAGACATGCAAATACAGATAAACATGCACACGTGTAACACATTCGCACAAATACACATGCACACATAGCCATCATACTTATACAGATACAGGCACACGCAAGTATGTGCAAATACGCACAAATACAGGCACACCTTTTAACCCACAGGTGTGCACACATACACACACATGTTCACACAGGCACACACAGACACACTCGCATGCACACACATTCACATGCGTATAGGACACAGTTATACACATACACTTTTAAAGTCAACCACATACATTCACAGGTGCACACTGACACTTGCACAGACATACACACCTACTACACTGTTAGTGACACACATGAAACATTTGACATGCACTCACATACACAGGCAGACATACACCTGATGATGCCGTGGGACTGTGTTCAGCAGCACTAATGATTCCTGTGTTTCCTGCTTCCCCGTAAGAATGAAGTGTTAAACTAAGTGCCTGTCAGCAGCCCTGAGCCTGGGTGGTAGCCCAGGTTGTTGCTTGTGAAGCTCTTTGTGTGGAAAGAAGAGCAGACATTTTCCTTTCAGTCTGCTTCTCATTGTAGCTGTGCCAGCACTGCTGGAAGCCAAGCCCTGCTTCCTGCACGCAGGAAAAATCCTGCTTGTGGTTGCCCTCCAGGAATGCAGCTGTTGAAGCCCCTTTGGAGCCCGAGGGGCACTTTGGAGGAAGCCTTTTGTGGGGACTGCAGGAACCACTCACTGCAGGGCAGCCTCAGAGAATGGACATGGACGCACTTTGCTGAGCCCCTTGAGAACAGAACAAGAGCTGAGTGTCGCTGTGGGCCTGGGGCGGCCTTGTTCTCTGTCTTGATTCTTTCTCTCCTGTCCCCACTGCAGCTGTCTCAGACGGAGGAGGTCTCCCGGGACCTCATGGACTTTCTTGAACAGACCTTGTGCAGATGGGACCATCTCTGCATGGGAGCCTCTGCCCCAAGAGAACTGGCCAGATCACTCCTTACAGAGCTGCGCAGACAGACCTGGCCTGAGGACGGAGGCGCCTGATGCGGGCCAGGTTCACCAAAGCTACAGGACTAAATGCAAATGCCCGAACCGCACGCCACAGCCTGGATAATCCTGAGAGTTGTCAGCACAATACCCTGAGTTCAATCCCAATACTGCTAAAAAAAAAAAAAAAAAAAACAGATAAAACTGTGAGAATGGCCCACAAACATTTTGGCAAGATGCAAGACCTATCAGAAATACTTTACAGAGTGAGAAGACGCTTTAATAGTTCATTAGTCCAGACAGATAAATTCATGAGTGACTGGATCATACCTTCAGCATCCCCTGAACATACTCAGGCCAGAATGTCTGCAAGTCATCAGAGCAAAGGTTTTGGAAGGGAGAACAGATACTTATGTTTCCCACTCCTCCCCACCCCACATCAAATTAAGGTGCACAATTATAGTTTGAATGTTTATACTTTCCATCAAGAAATTTAGAAAGTGATCTGTGTAAAAAGTATCATAACCCTTTCCGCATCCTTTTTGAAAATCAGGGAATGATTGTTGGTATTTCTTTTAACCCAAAGGATTAAAGGGCCCATTGAGAAAAGGGCACTTTCTTGCTTCCCATGTATGTTCTTTTCTTTTTGTTTTTGGACCACACCCAGTGATACTCAGGGGTTAATCCTGGCCCCACAGTCAGGGTTTATTTCTGGTGGGGCTTGGGAGACCACATGGGATGCCAGGTATCAGCCTGAACTCCTGTGTGCAAGGCAAATACCCTAACCACTGTGCTCTAGCACCCCCACCACTCCATACATTCTTTTTAAAATTTTTCGGCTTTCGGGGTCATACCTGGTGGTGCTCAGGTGTTACTCCTAGCTCTGCAATCAGGAATTAATCCTGGAGGTACTTGGGGGGCCCTATGAGATGCCAAGGATCGAGCCTGGGGCATCCGCATGTAAGGCAAACGCCCTCCCCACTGTACTGTCTCTCCCCCGCCCCTCCCCAGTACATTCTTTACCCAGGAGCATCCAGAGCCTCACCCCAAGCAGAACTAGGGGGGGCACCTTCAGGAGCAAGAACTGGTGCTTGCCCCACTGTGCACCCTGGCCTGGGTGCAGCCTGTCCTGCTGCAGACTTCTTGGACCCGAGGAGCCTGCGTTAACTCTGGAGGGACTGGCAGGCTGTTTCCTGCAAACGTTAGGAAAGCTCACAGCCCCTGGGTCCTGCCTCCTCAGAGCCCCTGGGTCCCACCTCCTCACAGCCCCTGGGTCCTGCCTCCTCAGAGCCCCTGGGTCCCGCCTCCTCACAGCCCCTGGATCAGGCCTGCAGACACAGTGGGCAGAACCAGCTGAACCCAACTAGCATTTTTGACAAGGAGCAAGGAGGACATCAGCCAGCTCCCTGGTTGTGGGGAGCCGTAAATGACAAATTGGAAAGACTCACCTGTAGACCATACCAGGTGCGATGGGAATTCAGTTGGTGCTGACCCCAATATACTTAGGGAGCAAAGACAGGAGCAAACCAGTCACCAGCCACCTTTCAGATAGGGACTTTAGAGAGGAAATGTTGGGGATGTCGATGAGCTCAAAGAAACAATGCTACTGACTGCCAGCATAGCACAAAGTATGAGAAAATTAGAAATGACAGAACTTGGGCATGAACAACTGTGTAACGTTGTATCTCATGGTGATTCAACACAACTTTTTTAATCACAATGAAATACACAGTTACAAAGTTGTTCATGATTGGTTTCAGTTATATAAATTTCCAGCACCTATCCCTTCATCAGAGAACATTTCCCACCACAAATGTTCCCAGTTTTCCTCCCACTCCACCCCTGCCTGACTCTGTAGCAGGCACTTTCTCTCTCTCTCTCTCTCTCTCTCTCTCTCTCTCTCTCTCTCTCTCTCTCTCTCTCTCTCTTTCTCTCTCTCTCTCTCCCTCTCTCTCTGCTTTTAGGCATTAGGGTCAATACATTTTTCTTAAAGATAGATACTGGAGAGACAGTATGATTAGCCTAGTGATCTTGCAAAACATTTAGATGGTTATGGAGTTGATTCTGGGCATGGTAAATAGTTCACTGAAAGAAGACAGACTTTGGTGTTCAGAGGAGCAAAGGGCAAAACTGTAATTCAGTACGAGGCATCACTTTGGAAATTACAATGTATTAAAAATGGTGTCAACTTGCCATAACCATGCCGCCAGACCCTGCACCAGACCCAGGCTGTTTCATTTGCGGTGCCCCAGAGGTGGGTGGGTGAGAGCCCTCCCTGCCCTAAGGGACCCAAAAGTCGAAAATCTCCAGAACTCAATCACTGCCATGCTCACAGCTGTTTTCCTCACGCTCGGGCTGGGCCTCGCCCATGAGTGAACCTATTCCTGGACCACACAGCCGCAGCATTTCATACCACACACCCTTCCCATACTCCAAGAGTACCGCACCACATTGATGGGGTTCAAAGAAGGAGGCAACCAATTTTAGAGGGAATTTTTTAACATATATAAAGGTAAAGGCCCTCCCGTTGTTCATCGATTTGCTCGAGCGGGCCCAGTAACATCTCCATTGGAGATTTTGTTGTTACTGTGTTTGGCATATCGAATACATCATGGGTGACTTGCCAGGCTCTGCTGTGCGGGCGAGATACTCTCAGTAGCTTGCCAGGCTCTCCGAGAGGGGCGGAGGAATGGAACTCGGGTCGACCATGTTGGCTGCGTGCAAGGCAAACCCCCTACCGCTGTGCTATTGCATACATACATACACACATATACACACACACACACACACACACACATATATATATATATGCACACATGGCTCAACCTTTAACAACATGTTAGTGATCTCTTATAGAAGGGCTTAATGGCCCCTGAGTGAAATACAACAATCTTCACTGGGTGAAATACAACAATATTTACACTCTTTCCTCTAAGGAAACTTTTTTGTAGCATTTTCAGTGGTTTTTCATAACAAAAAAATACAATATATATTATTTTGGTTCTGCTTTGAGGCATGGGTTCGGTTTTGGGGTGGAAACATCCAAAATATGGTGGTGGGAAGGTGTAATGGTGATGAGATTGATGTTTGAATATTAATGTAATCAAATATTGTGAACTACTCTATCACTTAATCACTTAATCACTTAACTTCCCGTTAGTCATCAATTTGCTTGAGCGGGCGCCAGTAACGTCTCCATTTGTCCCTGTCACGTGCTAGTGTAGCCCAATGGCATCTGTTCGCTCTGAGAACATGAAGAGCCTCAAACCGATCATTCATGATCTTGACGAAGAAGTCTGACCATCTGGTAGGTGGGCGGCCACGCGGTCTTTTGACATCCCGTGGAATCCAGTCGGTAACAGCTCTAGTCCAGCGGTTGTCTTTAAATCTCATTATGTGACCAGCCCATCTGATTTTTGACACCTTGGCAAATGAGGCAGCGTCCCTGATTCTTGATCGTCGACGGATGTCAGAACTCCAGATTCTTTCTCTCATTTGAGTGAAACGTGATATTCCACACATAGCTCTTTCTATTCTTCTTTGGGAGACCTGAATAGCATTCTCATCTTGTTTGCGTAGGGCCCAGGTCTCTGAGGCATATGTTAATGCAGGAAGAACAGTGGAATCAAAGAGATGTGCCCGGAGCTGGAGGTTCTTCGTCCTCTTAGCTATTTCTTCGACGTTCTTGAAGGCGTTCCAAGCCACTCTCTTCCTCCCGCGCAGCTCGGGTGCCAAGTCATTTGTCATGTTTTCTTCTCGACCTAGGTATACATAGCTGTTGCATTCGGAGATGGTCGTTCCGTTGAGAGCAAATGGGGCAACAGGAACGAGGCTGTTTCTCATAAACATTGTCTTCGTAAGATTCAGCTATAGTCCTATCTTTCCACACTCACGGTCAAAGTCAGTCAGCATTTGTGCCGCTTGGCTGATGTTTGTTGTTATTAAAACAATGTCATCAGCAAAGCGGAGGTGGTGTAGTTGCCGACCATCTATCTTCACTCCCATTCCTTCCCATTCCAGTTGTCGCATGATATTCTCAAGGGTGGCACTGAAGAGTTTCGGTGAAATGGTATCACCCTGCCGAACCCCTCTCTTGACATCAACGATCACTTCTTTGTAGAATGGTGAGATCCTGGTAGTGAATCCGCAATACAGCTCACGGAGGATATTGATGTATTGGGCTTGAATGCCCTGATTGGCTAGGGCTTCCATGACCGCTTCCGTCTCCACAGAATCAAAGGCCTTCTTTAAATCAATGAACATTAAACAGAGCGGCATCTTGAACTCCCGAGAAACCTCAATGAGCTTGGTTATTGTGTGGATATGGTCAATGGTGCTGAATCCTTTGTGGAACCCGGCTTGCTTGCATGGTTGTCCTTCATCTAGTGTTCTGCCAATCCTATTTTGGATGACTCGAGTGAACAACTTGTAGATGACAGACAAGGAAGACAAAAATGATCATCTGTACTTTCAATGCACATACGCTAGCATCAGATGCATCCATCGAGGACCTGATGGTACAAGCGCGAATGATCAAGTACGACATCATTGGTCTGACTGAGACAAGAAGGCACGAATCTCACCATGTCGTTTTCAACACTGGAGAAGAATTGTTCCTCGGAACATGCGATAAAAGAGGTGTTGGAGGCGTCGGTGTCCTTGTCAACACAAACTTGGCCATGAGCATTGATTCGTTCGAATGCCTAACAACCCGAATCGGACATTTACATTTGAATAGATGTGGCTCACTGCCTGCAGTTTCTATCTTCATTGTCTACGCACCAACATCTCATTATGATGAAAGAGAAATCGAGAAGTTCTATATGGAGCTGGAGAAGTTCTATAAAGAAGACCACACCTTCTACAAGATCATTGTGGATGATTTTAATGCCAAGATAGGACCAAGAAGATCAGCTGAAGAACTTCACATCGGGACCCATGGCCTAGAATGGAACGAACAGGGTGAGAGACTGTCTGAGTTCATCATGTCGACCAAGACCATTCATGGTAACTCACAGTTCCAGAAGGCAGAATCTAAACGATGGACATGGGAGTCTCCTGGTGGACGATTCCACAACGAA